GGCGATATATTAGCGGTGACATCCAGGCCAAAAAACATCTTTCACAGATAAAATGTAAAAGGGTGATGTAGTGCAATGACTGTATATCAGGATGAGTAGCGACAAGCAGACGGGCTGATACATTGAAGCCATTTATCATCCCTCTTGTCATCTGCCTGTTTGAGTGTTTTAAGATGTCACCACCAGGGGCTAGGCCACTCATTGAGATAAACCGCCTCTGGCACAGACATACAGCAGAGAGAAGGGATATCTACTCAGGAACATTAAAACAAACCTGAGTCTTGATGATGGGTCATTTTTTCTCCTGATTAATAATTGATTTATGCAGAAAGATCCTGCACGTGTGCAGTTCTGAAGGTCAGGTCCCATTTTCGTCTAATGTAGCAACCCTGCAATAAGTGTAGTGAAGTATACACCGGTCTGAGAGTACTTGGTGCAGTCCGCTTTGGTGAAATATTTCTTTATTCTAAACTACAAGCATTATTTTTATTGTTCCACTTGAGCATTTGACAGGTCAAAATCCACTACTTTCGTCTATTAACTCAAGTTTTTAATGATGGAGACTAGTGTGTAGCATCCAAACTGTACAAGCAGAAAACAAAAATCCCATATAATCTGACTAATAATTATAATTTATTAAAAAAACACAATTTTATAATGAAACGGTGTCATCATTCCCATCTCGACTGCTCCTTTCTCTCCCTCTCCCTCTCCATAACGTCCTTTCATCTGACATTCAGCTTTTGAGGTTTTATGTCTTTCTTTTCTTTTGTACCTCTGGCTATTTTGTAGCAATGGATCACAGAAAAGAGCAGTGACTGAACTCTCACATGGGACATCAATGGCAAGCATCTAACAGTTTTCTTTTTTACTTCTGTGTATTCTCCTTCACAAATAATACCCAATATTTATTTACGCTGACATTGCCTTACTTTTTGCAGTGTGTTTGCTTTGGGGTAAACATGTTATATGGATGGTTTAGTTAATAAATTGACATGGTTCTTTAGGTCACTTGCAACATAATTAAGATGTAAAAAAAAAAAACTGCATGTTATTTTAAATTGCAAAAGCAATGCACTGTTGAATAAAAAAAGGAATGAAAAGAACCGTTCAGTGGCACACCATCTGCATATTCTTAGACTTGTCTAATATAACAGGACTCAGAGGACGTGCTGAACTACAGTAAACAGAACATAAGCAGAAAAGGCAGAAAATAATCCACAAATGAGGTGTGTGACAGAACAACACCAATTAAATCTATGCATGAAATGAGAAGTAAATTGCTGCAAATTTATCAAGTTACAGATAATTAATCTACCCCTAGCTGTGTTTTATTTCTTTATGGCAGCACAAGTATCTATCAACATCACTATTAGCCTTAGTATTAATAATAGGAGTATAAGGTTTTTCTGCAGGACTAATACACAGGTTAAGTCCAATACATTGTTCTGTAAAGGTTTTTAATTTAGTATATTTTTCTAAATACAGTACATGTAAGGGTTGCTTAACAAAGCAGATTTACTTAAATATGAGTGCAAATTCCCAACATTATTCTTTATAACATATCCTTTTCAACAGAATCAACACTTTGTTCAAAAAAGTGTTCACAGATATCCAAACCGACAAAGTGAAATAAAATGACTAAAAATCTATATTTCACACTTCCTACATTTTCCCTAGATGCCGCCAAATAATGTTAAAGAATTCTTTAAAAGATTCCTTCATCCAATTATGATGTGTATAATCACAAAATTTAATGGATCGTTCCTTGGACTGATGTGCACCTTTGGTAAAAATGTAATTAAATTCTGTTCATAAATTTTCAAGTTATCCTGGACACAGACAGTCAAACAAACAAACTTGCATAAAAACATGACCTCCTTGGCAGAGGTAATTAATGTTATTTGACGGTACATTTTTTCACTGTAGCAACATAGTCACATCTAAGACCATATAAAGGCAATGCATGAGCATTTTTAACAATCTAATAATCAGGTTTTTATCTATCGATTGTTTCATCATTGTTTTCTATAACATAAGGTTATAGAAAACAATGATGAAGAGGTAATGAATATAGGTACTGAAGCATTTTATCATTATTCTAACCCTTCAGCTTGAGCCTTTCCCTCTCTTAAATGTTTTTAATATCTCAAGCCATATGTACCACCGCTCCTAAATATTTAAACCTCTATAGACAAACCGAATGAACCTAGAGAATTATCCTGCTTGAATGAAGTTGCCCGTATTTGAAAACAAGTGTACTGTAAATGCAGAGCTGAGCTGGCACAGTCGTGCTGAGCTGTGACATTTTCTTTCCACTTCATAATTCAACAACAGATAGAGATGAAGCCAGTCTATTGTTAACATCTTATCCTGGGGGATCATAACATCTGAACATGCGTACTTGATGTCTGGATAATGTTCCATACAGAACAAAAATAAAAGTTTTATCCTGTAAAAATATCTTATGTCTGTCGTCAACCTTAACGCTGAGATACTGTTGATCTATTATTATCATTTTTATTATTCTTTCATAGATCAGTTGCAGCTTTCTGATGGACGTTTTAGGCTAACCTATGAAGACACTGTTGCAGTAATCAGTTCTTCTAAAGATAAATACATGAATGAGCTTTTGTAGCTCCAGCTTGGACATTAGTCCTTTAGTCCTGGAAATGTTCTTCAGCTGATAAAAGGCTGATTTAGTGACTCCTTTATGTGCATCTAAAGGTTCAATTCTGAGTCCATCATGACACAGCCATGATCAATGGTTTATAGCTGTAGTAGCGGAGCTAACTCTGGGTCTCTCCTGCTTTGGTCTGAAGGTTATTACCTCTGTTTTTTTTATTCGGCTGGAGAAAATTCAGACATATCCACATATTGATCTGTTCTAAGGCAACACTCTAATGGATTCATAATCACCTGATGACATTATCATGTAAAGCTGTGTGTCCTCTACATAGTTACGATGACTGATGACTTTTATTTGTTAAAATCCACACTGCAAAAACTATCTAGAAATAGTAAAAGTTACCCTAATTTACCCTTAATTTGAGTTGGTAAATAAGATGATTTGCCAATGGAATTCGTATTTTTACTGTTAAAATAAGATAATTACATAATATGCACTTGAAATAAAACAATATAATTGTTTTTTTTTTCTTGTTTTAAATATAAATTGTCTTGTTCCGTTGGTAAAATGTCTGACATGACTACTAAATGAAAGAAAAAACTGACTTATTTTAAGAAAAAAAATACTTATTTAGATTTCATTTTTTTTGCAGTGTAAGACTCACTAACATGATGCAGGATTGTATTGATTATAAAAGGACTTTAACCAAACTTAGATCCTTTGCCCCTGGTCCTGTGCTGAAAACAATGATTCATGCTAATAATTCATTCTTCCGTTTCATCATATCTGGATTATTGCAATACACCACACCAAAGCACCCTAAACTGGTTGCAGGTAGTTTTAACTAGGGCTGCAACTAACAATTATTTAGCAAATTGATTAATCTGTCGATTTTTTTTTTTGATAAATCTAAAGGTTCCTTAAACAATACTTTTTATGAAATTAAACCAGTTCTAGCAGACGAAAACATTTTTTTTATCTTAAATGCAAAATGATTAAGTATATTTTTACAATTTTGGTATAATTGCTGCTCTAAGTGGGTTGATCTGTTAGGTAAGGGCATATTTTATAGTCACTATACTCCAGTTAACGATCGATTGTTTACTAAGATAGTTGACGATTATTTCAATAATCAATTAATCACGATTAATCCAATGATTGTTTCAGCCCTGGTTTGAACAGCAGGCTTCTGACAAAATCATCCAAAGTGGTTGTTTCCACAAATGACTCCACTGCTAATGCGAATATGTGCCTTTTTTAGATTCTCGTTCTAGCGAGCTCTTTATATGTAGACCAGTGACGTGCGGTCAGGGGAGGCAGGTGAGGCAGTGCCTCACCAGCCATCATGGAAAGAAAGAAAATATATAATCATAAAGTAATTTAAATTGTTATATTCATCCGGTGGTTTGTACTAAAAAATATTCATTTTTCATGTAGCTTCACCAATTTCGATTTTTATTTGTTCAAAATCGCTGAATTTTCTTATTTTCCCATTCAAATGCTTGGAAGCGATGCCGGTGAGGCAGCAGCGAGCTCTGCCTCACCTTGGATTGCGCAACCCCTGGCTCTGCGCTGGCTGCAAAGCGGAGAGAGCATGTTGCTGTACGGCGTCAATAAAATGGTTTAAACAAATGTAATATGTGAACTTATTTCTAATAATTTGGCTTATGTATATAATGTACAGAGCTTTTTGTCACCAACTGTGTTTGTGTAACGTGTTTCGTGTAATGAGCGATTATAAACGGCAGAGAACAAGTTCGAGGTGAGGCAGGCAGTTCTCTTGCCTCATGGCAGGGGGTGCTCAAGAGACTGAAAACATAAGGCAGGAACAGGACGGATCAAGGAAGGCTTTCTTCCCTGGCAGTGATCTCCATTGAGACAGAGAGACTTTTAAAACTGAAGGAAGATAAGGAGGACTTCTATTCATTTATAAGTAAAGGTAAGACAGTAATAACATTTATTTTGTTTTGTTTTTTAAGGAAATGTGTGTTTTGTGAGCTACAGTTTGTATGTGTAAGGATGCAGAAGTGAAACATAACCTGTAAACTGCTGTCAATCTATGCATCTATTTGCAAATCTGATTCTGATGACGTCAGTGCCTCACCAGCTATGAACCTCACCGCACGTCACTGATGTAGACACATCAATTCTCAACAGAGTTGAAAAATCACAAGCATTTGTTTAAATGCTAAATGGGAAGTTATATTTTTCGTCGTAGAATATCAAAAGGAAAATGATCAACTCTACCTGTTCAGTTGATCCAAAGTAAAGGCTGAACATTTAAAATCCAGATAAAGTAGATGAATTTACCACTGGAACTTAAATAAGCATTACTCTACCATTTCATGTGCTTTCTCCAGGCTACCCTTACCTTTTTTAATCTTGCGATGAAAGTTAATGGCGTCAACAGAAGCGGTGACGATGTTTGTGTTGCAGTGTCGAGCGGCCACAATTCCAGCAACCTCATCCATCAGTTTCATGGTCACACCTGAGTCACCCACAAGCAAGGAAAAACAAAGCATTCAAGAAAAAAAATAGATTAAAGTTCAGGAACATTTCTTAAATAACATAATTTAGCTATGTTAGAAGTCTAACAAGATAGTGCAAATTTAATAATCAAACTGCTAATCATCACCAAATAATTAATTTCTTAACCACTGTATCATATGGATCTAGAGAACTCTGGAGTGTGGATCATACTCTGGAGACCTTGACTGTATTCTAAAGAGGTGAATTAGAGTGATTGTAGGGGAGTGGAGGCCTAGTGGTTTATGGCATAGAGCTTGGAATCCTAAGGTTTTGAGTTCAAGCCCCACTCCCACAGACTGCCACTCTTGGTCCCTGAGAAAAACCATTAACCCCACACTGCTCCCCTGGGGGCCCACGATGGCAGCCCATTGCTCCCCAAAGAGATGGGTAAAATACAGAGGTGAATTTCTCCAATGTGAAATCAAGTGTTTTAGATAAGGGAGATATCTAAAAGTTACAGGATACCAGACCTCAAAGAATAGAGTTCGAAACCCCTAATATAGAGACTACTATCTGATTTAAGAATACAATTGAGTACAAATTTTATTTAGAATATTTTATTTGGCTTTTAGTACGGATTAGACATATAGTGTATTAAATTTAGTATTGTGATTATTGTACACAAATGCATTACTATTATCAATAATAACCTTTTTTTTTCAAATGAGGTAAAAGTCAACTTTATTTTAACAGTTAGAAGGTAATTCACTAAGAATGAAACTAGCAGCATAAATGTAATTATCAACATTAATCAATCAGTCAATCTTTATCGATAAATAATAAATACTGATAAATAGTTAAAAATTTAGAGATCTATCAGTATTGACACTTATATCAGCCAATGATAACGCTGCTCTCTTCCACATCTGTATGGGCCCCTTAGACTGATATATTTACCGATTTTCATTCCCATCTTATTCTTGTTTTTAAATTGCTGTGACAATGGTAGTGATGTAACAAAATGATTGAAGGGTGTACAATTGAAAAAGAGAAGCTATTGTGAAGGTTTTTTTCCTTTTTACAATTTGTTGAAAGGTTGGGAAAATGCATGTAATAACGATAAACAGTCATAACAGCCATATTGGTATCGACATTGGATAAAATTTTTATAAAATGTTTATAAAAGATCATCCCTTAACTTTATTCTTAACAATTAAATTCAAAACACTGAGCTGGGAACCAAAGTTCCACAAGCTTTCAAGTAATTACTTCCTTTAAGGCACAAAGCTCAGAGAAGTGGAAACAGAAGAGTTCAAACATCCACACTCACAATGACATGTGTGAAGGAAATAGTTGTTTGATGATTTCTCACATAAAGTGGGACACATTGTATGGAGTGGGATGGGGATGAGAAAAAACAAGAGGATGACATCTGCTACTCATCTCAGAGACAGTCTGTGAGAATGTGTGACGTGTGGGTTTGTGAGTGCATTCATTTACAGACAGTCAGACCCTCCACCACACACCCCTGCCCCAGTTGTTCCTTCTGAGCTGCATTATGTATCTTTCATGTTACAGAAAATCATTGAGGACGCTTTCTGGAGGCTGATTCTGCCCCCAAAGGTTTATACCATCTGCACCGTGTGGCTTCATTTAAGACAGCCAAGTGTGTGGGAGTACAAACAAAATGTACTGCTTGGGTTTACCATAAATGTGGGCCCACTGAGCTGATTAAGATTTAAACATGCTATTACTTTGACATCCACCATCAGCTTTGGGTTTAAACCAATTAGAGGCATTTTAATGTCTTTCAACGTAGAACTACATGCTGACATGGTATCCAAACATAGAACTAGAAATTAAAAAATCTAACTTTTCATTCAAAAATGATGACACCACAGTTCAACATGGCTTTATGATTCTTGTTTTCTGTAAGCGTCCAAATTGCATTTATTCCTGATTGAGTCCGTTGCACAGAATCTTTTCAAACGTCAGTCTTTTCCCATGTATTTGTTGTGAAAATTGGGGGTTTCTGACCAAAAGGATTTTCAAAGTACGGAGCGGTCATGTCTGTGCGTGAAACATTTGACAGACAGGGTTTGGGATCTCGACAAGATAGTGACGGTAAATCAAAGGATTGCCTCACATTGAAGAGATGTACAAGTCAGCATGAGTTTGTTAGGTTTCAAGATTGTAATCGTACTAACAATGTTAAGCTCAAAAAACCTATTTTAATACTTTTTAACTTTCACATGTGAAACGACACTCTTTAAATGAGGTTTGATAATTAACTGTGAGAGCTGATCATTAGGATGTTAAAAAGCTGCAGCAGCAATATATATATCTGAAGCTTGTTATGGCCATCACCATAACTGTTTCCATATTTTCGCTATTTCTATTTCTTTTAACAGATCCAGTCAATCTGCTACACATAGATCCTACAAATACATATCAACACATACTTACATTTAAAATATTTCACTAAAACACTTGAAAAGACCAAATCAAGAACCCCACTGTAACTGAGGACAACAGAAGCTTGTCGTAGTTAATCACTACCTTAGGCGTAAGCTTTAATGCAACTCCTACAAAAACATTCTCCTTGTACAGTCAGGGTGGAAGGTTGAAGTAATCCTCAATGTGAGACTGCAAACGAGGACAGCCTGGCCAAGACAGCCCTGGGCCTGACGTTACACATTCACTGGATGACATGGCACTCATGACTCTCTGTTTGCTGCAGGGTGGGAACACAAAAAGGCGAAGGAAAGGCATAGTGGTAGGGTGTGTGAAGAGGGAAGACAGCTCACTCTAAGTGGGGAAAAAAAGGGGACATTTGCAACCAAGTCCCCAGTGGAGCCCAGTTTGCCACAAGGCAGAATACCTCTGTGATTAGATGCCTTGTTGCGATTTTCCGCAACCTTTGAGAGAGGTTTCATCCATTGGCAATGATGAAAGAGGCATTCAAGGTGGCTCTCGCTGCCCTTCAACTATGTATTCTGACTTCAAGCCTTTTAATTTAGTACTCCCTAAGATGCAGAGCACTCTACATGAGAAGGAACACCTTTAGCAAAGCCATTTGACTTTATTTCATCACTCCCTAAGCTTTAGTTTCTCTTCTCATTCTCCTGTTTTTGCTCTCTGTCAATCTTTATTGATGATTTCCATCTCTTTCCGTCATGCTCATTCCCTCCCCAGCAAGTCCTTTAATCATGGACGGTATCAAACAGCTCAAACTGCCTCCTAATGAGCTGTTTCTATGGAAACTGCTCCCGTTAACGGTATTGCCATGCACCCTATCCCACCCACATTTTCTTAGAAACTCCTATACACTACATTTGATCCAACGTATTCCTCTTCCAGGTCAACATCAGCAAACAGCAGGCAGATTATTAATCTGCATGTGGCTTATTATGGCATGATTAGTCTTCTTAATAACTCTGAACTCTATAAAAATACAGCGTATTCCATATTGATTGGTACCAGGGGTAAAATGTGTAGAAAGAAAACAACTTTTTTTTTTTCTTTGTAGTAATACATTTTTCATTGAAAATGTAGAAATAACCAACCGTTAACTCGGGGCTGGAGTAGAATTGTTAGGAAGAAAATAAATTCCAAAGAAAATGAGAATAAAGCAAAAAGTAATATAATGTATTTAACATAATGACCACTATAGGCTACAGTATCACTGTATTATGGTATCAACCCACTGTTTTTGGGCAGGCCAACAATGATAAAGTTAAATTTGTAAAGTTTGCTAAACCCAACTGAAGCTATAGTGGGAACTGTGTGCTTTTTAAGCATTTTGGCATCAACACTGCTAAAGGATCTAAGGAGTGGATCTTAAAAAGTAGAGTGAATATTGAAAAATATTTAATGCAAAGTACTTAATGCAAACTGCTAAATATGAATGAACTGTGGTGCTGAGGGCCTCATCTAAATGTCCTAAATTCCTTTTCTTAAGAGCACAATGTCATGTAAATTGTCTAAAACACTGAGGGACAATACAAGCCATAAATCATACTGACACAGTCATATACATATATTTTATCTTTCATAAAGCGATATTTTTTCTCTCACAAAAATCCATTCTCCTTTCATGCCTATGCATTCTCCTTATACACAAACACTCTCTCTCACAAGCATATTTTCTCCTCTCACATGCTTCCATTCTCCTCTTACATGCATACATACATGTACTCCTCTTACATGCATACATACTCCTCTTACACGCATACATTCTCCTTTCACAGGGATACATTCTCCTCTCACACCATACATTCTCAGTCAATCGAAGAGGATTCTTATATCTGCATGGTTGAACCTTTTTAAATATTATAGGAAAAGACTAGACTCACTGCCCTATAGACAAAGGACTGTACAAAATATTAGCAGCAAGGGCCGCTATAATCCTGCAACAACCAAAGATAATATTTTGTTATTTGATTTTCCTTAGTTTATTAATACTTTAAAGTTGTACTTTCCCTTCTTCATATAGGTAACCAATACATTTGGAGGATGATGTCAGTTTCAATTGTTCTTTTGTTTAGTTGGGCTCTTTTCAAACCCCCAAAATGTTATCTCCTCTAACTGGGCTATACTATCTTTCAGCATCTCACATTTATACTAAAAAAGATTTGACTTATCGCAAAAACATATACATTCATCTGAACTGCCCTAAATATTACTTTCTGGCTGCAACTTGCACCTTTTTCGCTCCTTCCATCATAAGCAATCAGGATGCTGTAATGAGCCATGATTGTTGAATACTGCTCTATTCATGGTGGGACAAAAGATTACAAGTTCCTGCTGAGCATGTTTCCTTGGAGGGGAAAAACCCTTTAACACTGAACAACAGTGCTTTGCTATCTTCTCTGGTTCAACAAGTCTTTAATCAGTGAAGAGCCTTAACATACAGTAACTTCATCTAAAACATATAATGTACACTTTTTTCTGCATACGTGATTTCATAAAAGTGGAAATAAAAAATCCTTGCATCCAATGGTGAGCTTGGAAAAGTTA